GCCACGCACGTGTGGTTAAGCACGCAGCCTGAGTAAGAAGAGCTTTCGCCGTCCATATACGAGTTAAGCAAGAAGCCAGCCGCCGCAGTGTTTGCATATGCACATACGTCCAACGGGCGTAGGAGATTACACAACCCGAAAGACGCGGGCGCAAGATGCCTCTTCCGTATACAGTTTCGTGCAATATGCAACGCCCGCTCTCGCCTTCTTTGAATCTACGCTTATGTGCCGGATGGAGGACAACAAGACCGTTCACTCTGCTTCACGAAGAAAATGACGGCTGTACGACGTGAAGTCACAATTATACATCTAATAAACACAATGTTTTACTTCATTACGTATTTGAACGAGATTCCACGATGTCTTGAACACTACTTAATAATAACATGTGGAGTGCCACGTCTCAAACCCACGATATGATTATGAAGGTCACCGTAGTGAATGGCTTCGGAAGTTTCGACCATCAAGGTTAACGTGCAGTGACATCGTACCATACACGGGCGTCTTCCATTTCGCCTCCATCAAAATGCGACCGCAGCGTCCAGGATCGAAGCCACGACCTTGAGCTCAGCAACCGAGCGCCCCGCCGCGGTGGTCTAGTGGCTAAGGTACTCGGCTGCTGACCCGCAGGTCGCGGGTTCGAATCCCGGCTGCAGCGGCTGCATTTCCGATGGAGGCGGAAATGTTGTAGGCCCGTGTACTCAGATTTGGGTGCACGTTAAAGAACCCCAGGTGGTCGAAATTTCCGGAGCCCTCCACTACGGCGTCTCTCATAATCAAATGGTGGTTTTGGGACGTTAAACCCCACAAATCAATCAATCAATCAGCAACCGAGCACCCTATAAACAGTAATCCACCGAGGCGGACTTGGAACACTAATTAGGTGTTCAGTTTAAGTGTACACTGCGCTGTACACGTGAACTGTAACTACAAACGCATGCTACGGGGAAACCGCTCACCGGCTGGGTGACGAGAGCGGAATCAACATGCATGCACTCGTCTCTTCGCAATCCGAAGGACGTCCAACGGATGCATCGAAGCGGACGACCGGGCGCAAGGCGGAAAAGAGCCCGCCGTTGTCCGCAGCCCGCGCAACTTTCTCGCACACGCCCTAGCGATTGCAGACACCACCACCTGGATCCTAAATACCTAATTAGACCGCCACATAAGCGCGTCCGTCGCAGGCGACACGACATGCGTACTTCCGGCATAAGGGATTCGTCCAAAACATACTCAAACAGGACTTTGATGCCTCTGCATATACAAAAGGTAGAGGAAATGTTTATAAAGGAGAGACAAGTCCCGTAAAGAGAGAGAGAATAAACTTTATTGGGTTCCAGCATGCGGGATTCCCTCCGGCCGCGCAGGGCGTGGGGTTCACCCTATCTCACGTTACACTAGAAGTCCTAATGTCACGCGGGCCTAGACCTCAAGGCCTTCGTGCCCCGTCGCCGCTCGGGTTACTGACGGTGTCCCCCTTTCGCCTTTGCAGCGCCAGTGCGACCTCGAGCTGCCGGACGGCCCTTCGCTGGTCTTCTGGGTCCGTAGACCCCACACGCTGTAAAGAAGTTGCCCGGTTGAAGATGCAGCACTCTATGCAACCGCTAAGCAACTTTCCATGCGGTCGAACGCATTTGGTAGACCTGACGTCAATCGACCTGGGACATAACCCGCGCGGGTTTTACGGATTTCATCAGAAATTTAGAGCGCTTTCACAAAGCGTACAAGCCGAACAAATAAAACTAACACACTACGAAGAACGGGCGCAAGGCATAAACACTCCCTTCCCCCCTTCCTGACACAAAACACCCATAAATTACTCACGAAAAAGCAAAACAAAGAAACGTGGTTAGAAAGAGAAGCTGACAAAATGTACGACCCATATAATGCAACCCAGCTCAAAGTAGAAAATGAACACGAATGATTCATCAAATAAATAAAAAAAAGCTTCAGAAGCCCACTCTCAAAAAAAAAAAAAAAAAGGCCAAGAGAACCAATGGCTCGTGACTCAGACGTCTTAATGCCAAATGACTCCGGCAAAGTGGCGTAGTCGCTGAGCCACGAGGTTAAAATGACTACTGCGATGGACGAAGCCGGCTCATTGCACGACACACTTCGCACAAAGGACATCGTTCTTTGGTGCTAAGAGAAATGCGTAAAAAGAAAACAAAAGAGAAAAAAAGGCGTACAACTGCCCCATACTGTGAAACACTGTACTGGCAAACACGAGCAGGATGGGAAGAGACGTTACTGTCCGTGTGTTTATTCGCCAGTCAGCTAATCCACAGTATTCGCCAGAGCCAACTAAGGCCCGTTGTCGACGCTTAGCCTCCTCACTCCTTCGGAGCGATTTCACTGGGACACCCTCCTTCGTCGCTGCCGTCGTCGCAATCATCCTGACCGTCGCACACCAGCTCGGAAGAGATGCAGTGCCACGAGTGGCAGTGATAGGGCTTGGGGTCCCCCGGCGGGCACTCCTCGACGGGACAGTGCACCTCGTCCGCGATGTCCCAGCAGTCGGCGCGGCCGTCGCATCGTCGGTCCAGCGGCAGGCACGACGTGTTCAGTCCGCAGCGGAAGTTGACGTCCTCGTCGCACGGGCAGCTCGACTCGTCGCTCAGGTCGTCGCAGTCGGCGAGACCGTCGCACCGCGAGTGCTTCGAGACACAAAGACCGGACTTGCAGGCCCACTCGTCGGCGAGGCAGCTTTTGGTGCACGCCAGGGAGCCGTCATCGAGACGTCGGCAGCGGCTCCCCTCGACGCAGCCGGCACAGTCGCTGCCCACGCGGCTGCGCCAGGACGGGTGTGGGCCACCCTCGCGTCCGGACCTTCCCTGAGGTCCACCCTTGCGGGCTTCTAAGGCCGCCGCGTCGGCCCTGTACCAAGCGACGAACAGGAAGCAGAGCGCGATCGTGCCCACGGTCATGGCGGCGACCCCTGCGAGCTTCCAGAAGACGGCGGTTCTTGCGGATTGCCGAGGGAACGACAACGCTTGCAGCGGATGTTGGGTGGGTCCTGGATGTGGTAGTAAGGGGGCGGCGGCGAGTTGATGATACCGGCGGTCGAGCCGGCCGCCAAGTCGTCGTCGTCGTCCAAGAAGGAGTCCCAGTTGGCGAGACTGTCTTGCCGCGGCAGGTGCGGTGCTTGAAGGGCGGAGACGTCGCTGCGCCTGGTGGCAGCGGCCATGCAAGCTAGAGGGCTACCAGGAACCGCGATGCACGTCGCGATGGGCACGACGGAGAAGGCGATGGTGATAGTTCATGTTGGCACATACCCACCACGTCTAATGATATGATGATGCACTTTGGATTAGTACCTACCAACTTAAGCACAAAGGCCAAAAGTCGGGTTGATTACTTCCAGAAGCGGTTATACGGTGTCAGTAGGACACAAGAATCACTCTTATCTGTTCAGACGTTGTTGTAACATAAGTGATCGCAGCAGTAATCGCATAATCACCCCCCCCCCCCTCCACCCCGAGCAAATGCCTTCTTCATCAACTCCAGCAGTTGATGAAGAAGTTGATGATGACACGACGCGCACCGACGACTGCGAGTTTCTTATTCTAAAGTACGACGCAATGCAACAGTCGCAGTAGGCACGTACGTACATGTTAATGCAAACGGTTGTACGGATGCGTCCCGCGCATCTTGAAAAAAAGGACAGACGAGCTTTAGTTGGTGCATACACAGAGTAATTTTTAAAGCGCGATATGAGACGAGCACGAGTAAGAGAACGACATCAGCGCTTAGTCACTGGTAGGCCGTGTTGACCAGCTCAGACCCACTCGGCCAGTTAAGGGTCGTGAAGTGGGCCACACAGGTCGCCGCCAACCTTGGGTTAATGGCCATCTAATACGGAATCGTGCGCAGTTGCTTTCTGAAGAAATGCAGTTTTTTCCATCCATCCATAGTCATCGTCGCTTATTTGTCCTCGTCTCATTTAGTGTTAGAAAGTTCAGTTATCTGTATTGGACAAACTAATTTGATGCCACTGCGCGCAGCACCGAAAAAAAAAAGAAAAACATTTCGTGGAGCTCATATGACGAATTAATCAAATCGACGAAAGAAATCGTGCGCACAAATTACGTTGGTACGGTGTGCGGTGGAGAGTCGTGTCGACTCGAAGCGTTCGTAGGTGTCGCTTGAGCAAGCTTCCATCCGAAGAGGGCCGAAGAAGACTGGACGACGATGAACAACGCTTGAGGCGCAAGTATACCTGAAATCGCAGCGCAGCTCGCGCAGCCACACACCACCTCCAAGCAAACGCCAAAGTCTTTCACGCGGCTACAACGAACCTTAACTGAACGTTTCGCTGCTATACCTGTTTCCTCTTTTTCTAAAAAAAAAAACAAACGAGTTAGTTCTAAGATGACTGTAGCGTAGATGTATGTGCTCAAAAAGTGACCAACGTAGCCACACGTCCCGTAACGCTATCTTGCTTAATACTAGAGGACAAGATATCCAGCTATTCACGAGGAACAACAGGGCGTCCCCCAAGTTAGAGAAAGAAGCTCATTAGTGTAAACAATTTGCTAAACGGACGAGAGGCTTAATTCGCTGAAGGGTGAGACTCATTACCGTAAGGTTTCCTTCTCACACGAAAACGTTTCACTGACAAGGCTCACGTATAGCAAAAGTTCAATTACAAAAACGTGAACTTTCCCTAAACGTGGAAGTTTTTTTTTTCAGTATTCTCTAGGAGTATGTTCTTAAGCATATAGTTTCTTTTCCTTAGTCGCCCGGTTTTTTTCTTTCCTTTTTTATTTTACATGAGTGCCACACTCGCTTAGTATTACGATCTTCTCTAAGCGGGTGGTAATAATACGTAATCGACGACAACACCCCCTGCATAACCTTGTGTGCATCAGACAAACCTTACACCCATACACCTCGATTCGTAGAGACTATACGCAAGTTCCATAAACGCCGAGCACTATTAATCGCGCGCTTTGTTCGCGTGGCGACGCGCGTAGTAAAGGAGAAAATACGGGACTCACCCCGGGAAGGGTCTTCATGTTGTGTAGCTCGTTCTGGGCGTCCAGGGCAGACTTGCGCGTGTAGAATGTGACGAAGCAGCAGCCTACACATACAAATAAGAAAAACTATAAAGAGATGCCATATTTTTATTGTATTTACTTATTTATTAACTTATTGATCGATTGATTTATTTACAGGTACTGAAAGCCTATATTTAGGCCCGAGCAGGAAAGGCAGCGAAAAACGGAAAGGCGTACAATGTTATACAGCTTAATCAGACAATTTATAGAGCACTTGAACAGTAGATTCCTGCCCATAAACACAGAACAAAACACTCCTACGCAGCAAGAACATAGAAATAATTCACTCGGGCACTGCCAACACATGCGATATTGATACATCATTCATAACTAAACCCAAGAAACAAGGTTCAAGTTGTTTTTCAATATCACCGTACTTTAAAAGCACTTCTTGGTAATGAGTTGCAGTGAGCAATAGTCCTAGAGAGAAAAAAAAACTCATTTTTTTTCCTCAAGATTTCTTTTTTTGCATAAGAGCCAAACATGGTCCAAAAGTGCAAATTAAGTTTGAAAAGGTCATGAATAACGTTTTGTATGGCAATACGAAGCTGTGCAAGCGACAGTAGAAAAAGGCTAAACGCAAACGCTCAACGATACGTCATATTCCCGTTGGCGTATACAGCGAAAGTGCGGGCGGGGCCCTTCAAAGGACTTCCATTTGTCGTGTGTAATGAAATCACTTTTTTTTTACTTATTGAACATCATTTTTTTCCCTAGGTAATAGTACATTACAACACCAGCTTACATTTGACAAATTGTAATTTTAGCTTTGTAGGTACTTTTTTGGTTAAGCTCGGCATCATCAGGCGACACATCTAGCCCTACCGGTAACGCATTCCTCTCCGGCTACGCGAAAAAAACGTCCACGAAAGAAAAAAAAAACGTAAGCGATAAGATGTTCAGAGACAAACAAAATCCTCTAATGACTGAAAATTCGGCAGGCGCGCGCGTCTCCGGCGATGCAAGTGCTGCGTATGCAGAAATATCGGTTACCGTAATACAACCGAGGCCGCCTAACCTCCATTAACACTCGATCGTAGATATCGATCGCTTGCACGTGACGTTCCAGATCCACAACATGGCTTCAATACAGCAGCTAATGCGGCATCACGATGGCGTAATACGGCGGCGATCAGCCTGCTCCAGTGTTATAACGACGTATTAGGAACGTTATTAGGATTCCGTGGATGAATAACGAATGAGCCGGCCTGGCGATGCACTGGTAAAACTATAAATACACAACAGGGGGGATTCTGGCGCTAGTGACTTATGGGAGCTGCAACGCGTGCTGCTTCAGCAAGCACGGGAACGATGGGTAGTACGCAAGTTTGTCTACTCTCCGTACTTTCGGCTCCATCCGGCTTCGCGTATAGCTCGGAGCTGCTTTGTCACGAGACGACAGTCGGCAAATGCTCCGCAGTTGAATTTCACCACCTTAACAGTTTTCGGCTCTACAATTCAAATCAGGTCACGAAGTTCACACACCTGCCCATTTTTTTTTATTTGAAACAAAACAAAAACAGAATACTAAACAAAGCCACACGCGCTTCGAACCCCCCCCCCCCTCCCCCAAGCACGAAGACTGCAGCGCAAACTTGTGTACTACGCATCAACCCAATGGTCGCTTACCGATCGCAGCGCTCCAGTCCCCTCTGGTTAACTTTAGTGAACTCTACGGTAAAAATAACGTCGCATCAAGAGTTGCGCGTCTCGCCATGTCGGTGCTGCAACAAGGCTCGTATGAGAACAATGAATAAGCATTTATTAAGCCTAACATTGTTGGTAGTGCGCGCAGGCGCCACAAGGGGCGGTTCCCTAGTGGCGGGACCCGTATATGTATCCAGCAGCTCTTGGCCCCTGTCCATCAGGGCACGCTGAGTCGGTAGGGCGGGGCTGGATAACAAGGTCTCTCATCGCTCAAGGGGGTTGGGGATTCGGGGTGTCTGGGGGTTCTTAAGTTATGTGCACTTTGCCAAGATGTGCGGCAGAGTGCCATTTTCTACTTTACAAAAACGGACAGAGCGTGTCGTGTTCCGCAGGGTACAACATGCGGTTCAGCAGTGCGGTCAGCGCAAGCCACCCATAGCGTTCGAACCTCTATTTTTTCCTGCGGCGCAGCTGCGCTAACCACGCTTAACCATAAACGCGGCTTACGCTATAAAACCGGGGCGATAGTAAAACCGGGCTAACGTCATCGGCGCAGCGACGGTACAGAACGCGTCAACCGGACAAGTCACGACGGCTTCACACGCGTACCACGACGAAGAAAACAAAAACATTGGCCACGCGCGAAATTAAACCGAGCGCACACGTACATAGTAGAAAGACGATTGCTGTTTTGTCCTTCACCTCATAGTGGCTCCCCGCCCAGTCGCAAATAAGCCCGCCACGAAAGTTAGAACCTGCAAATCGTCAATGAGCGCACACTAATGATCGAGTTCATTTGTCGCGTCGCGCGCCACCACTTCTCCGGCGAAACAGGAGGCGACGAAAAGCGAAGGCGTTTGGGAGTGAGACACGTACGTGCGAACACCGCGTACAACAATGGCGCGGGGTTAAAATGCCAGACAGGTCGGGGGCCGCAAAACAGGGATACGCCTCTTGGAACATCAAGAGAAAAAAAAACATTTACCGCAGTCCCGTGTAACTATACAGTGTAACAGCAACTGGGACATCCGCAATAATGTTGCTGAAGAAAAAAAAAACACCACGGAAACCAACGTTTCGCGTTGCGGTGTCACGCGCGACCCGACAGAAACTATCTCACTCAAGTACGCATACGAAAAACAAAATTGCAGAGACCGGTAAAGGTGTGTGTGTGTGTGTGTGTGTGTGTGTGTGTGTGTGTGTGTGTGTGTGTGTGTGTGTGTGTGTGTGTGTGTGTGTGTGTGTGTGTGTGTGTGTGTGTGTGAGAGTGTGTGTGTGTCTGTGTGTGTGCGTGCGTGTGTGTGCGTGTGTGTGCGTGCGTGTGTGTGTGTGTGTGTACGGGTGTGTGTCTGTGTGTGTGTGTGCATGTGCGTGCGTGCGTGTGTGTGTGTGTGCGTGTGTGTGTGTGTGTGTGTGTGTGTGCGTGTGTTGTACATCTACCCGCTTCCTGTTTATGCGTGTGTACGCATTCAGTGGCATGAGCGCGCGCGCGCGTGTGTGTGTGTATCTGCGCGAAAATGTCGTGAGCGCGCGTGCAGAGCCGTGTGAAATTACCACTCACGCCCCCTCGCGTGCCCCGAGCATAAACAGCGGGGGGCTGTCACGTTTTTCCTCAAACGTGCGATGCCCCACTCATGGGTGCCTATCACTTTTACCACTTTTTTTTTTCTGCAGAACACAAAGGCATATTCACTATGCGAGGCAAGCCGGGGTCACGTTACGAAATCAGCCATGCTCATCTCGCCGCCCGAGCTGCGGGATGAGCAAACTGTGTGAACACCGCAGAGGCCGGCGTCGCGCTTCACCGCAATGCATGAAAGCAGCGCTGGAAAAAAAAAAAAATACCTTCTCAGAGTCGCTCTTTCCTTCTGTGTCGCTACTTCGAAAAAAAAGAAAAAAGAATTTGAGGAGGGAAAAGTAAGGAGAAACGTTGCGAAAGGTGTAGAAGAAGGCCGGCTAGCAAGTGCGTCGAAGCGTAACCACCCACGCATAGTTCTCGCCCGCCCACGTGAAGAAACGTGACGGACCACAAATTAGAAACACGCGCGCGAAATCGGCCAGCCAAGGTTTATTGTACCCTCTTCTGTTTCTCCTCTTTTCTGCTTTTTTTTTTCCCAACCGACTACACCTTCGCGAACCGAAAGAGTTCAAGACCCGGGAACGGGTTGGGCTTATTTCGAACGAGAACGGAAAATCGAATGAGAGGCAACAAGAACGAGTCGTTGCTAACTTTCGTTTCTCTGTTTTTTTGTTTCATTTTTTTCTGGTTAACGATAAAATTCGCGCACGCGCGCGCTCGTGAACAACGTTGGCACGTGCTGAAAAGCGCACGGCTTCCCAGCATTGCTCGCACGCATGACTTCTAAGAGGCCGCGGCGAAAGGAGGGGGGGGGGGGGGGAATGAGGGCATTCGCCGTTCATTATAGGTAAAAAAAAAACAGCAGAAGGAGGTGCATGGAAGCGAACGACTGAACGTCGGTACGTGATGAATGCGTTGAATGCGAGTCCTTTAATTCTCATACATACATACATACATACATACATACATACATACATACATACATACATACATACATACATACATACATACATAGAGTATTTCAAACACTGAACCTTGTTTCGCCCTTTTTTCCTCAGCATTCTCCGAAAGGCTTTCTCAGATAATTGAATTTGTCACACTGTCTTGAAAGCATGTCACATCGCACTCATGCATCGCTGTATTGTTTCTTTCTTTTGTGCTATGATCTTCCTGTTATTCAATGCTTTCCATGGAAGATCAAAATAAATAAATATTCAAACAAATAAACGTATGAATAAATAAATACCACAGTAAAAGCTTAAAGCTTAAGGAGAAGGTCGAAAGAGCACAAGAAGAACCAACCACAACCCTGCACTCTATGTTCTTAAGTAGGCTTTTTTTTGTTGTGAATATTTATCACTTGAAATGCAAAAAAGAAGACAAAAACTCATATCTAGTTTTTGGTGAAACCCTTCGAGTGGAGATGAGCCATGGTAGGGATGTCATCATCATCAGCGTAGAAATCGAAACGACTTAAACTCGGCAAGCAACGCGGTGTAGGCCTGAGTTCATCAAGCCTACACGTACACGAAGAAGTAAAGAGACTCGCTGAGTAATCTCCCGAGTCTCTTTTCGAGATTCGACGGAATGGCGAAACCATCTCCCCCATTTAACCTCGCATTAACCATAAATTCTCAATTCACGGGAAGCACTAGCACCTTTTCTCACACCTGGCACCGCACAGCAGCGCAAACCAAATCATGCGTACGGGAGGCCCGAGTGTTTTCTCGATCTTCGCTCGCTTCGTACACGGTATAATCACCGCTCGCGAGAGCGTAGCGGGTCGAACGGAGTTCG